ATCTCAGCTAGCCATAGATGGACCACACTTTCTTCTACAAATGAGACTGGAGTCAGAGTTACTGTTAGAAAGAGTACAAATCCTGGTCAGCCTAATGGTATTGTGCTAAATGCTGCTACTACCATTTGGTTACTTATTCCTCCACAAACTGTTTTCAGTTTCTTCAAAGATGAAAGGAAAAGACCCCAGTGGGATGTTCTTCCCCATGGGAATGCTGTTCAAGAAGTTGCTCATATAGCAAATGGTTCACACCCTGGAAACTGCATTTCTGTACTGACAGTTAGGTCATAACATATTTATATAGCTTTGTATAGATTTCACAACATAGCTAGTAGAAGTTGTCCTGTGAATAAGCTTTAAAATTTCTTAATGCAATTATATTTTGTGGCTTTAGGATGCTTTAGATTGATGCTGGATCCAGGGTGTTATGCTTATATTTTGTGCCTTGCTAACATTACAAAAACCAAAAACATTTGTATTTTTTACTCTTGTTGTAAATTGTTGTCAATTTATCTCTTGTTATTATGTATTTGCTAAATATTTTCTATGCTTGAATAAATATGTATTGCAGCTGATGGAATTGAGTGTTGAAGAGTTAATTGCTAAAGGAAATTCATTTATTTCAGCTCGCCGAAATGCTACAAGTAAATTGCTGGAAAAGGTTTCCAGGGTTCGGCTGGGTAGAGGGTTTTATGGAGAGTGTCTGGTAATGTTTCAGGATTTAATCATCTTAGGTTTTATAGTTCTTAACTTGTTGTAATAGTAATGCTGGTGTTTTTAGTACTTCATGAAGAACTAATAATTGCCATTTTGATTGATTATAACAGTATCATGCATTAGTAATGTGGTCCCTCCCGACGCACTCTATTTTGTGGTTGAAACCTGTAATCATATTTTGTTGCCTTGGTTACTGTGTAGGGAGTTCGGGCAGATGGGAACTCCAACTTAAGTGATGAAATTGGCTTACTTCTTAGTGTAAAAAGTGCCGTTATTGGTTTGAGGTGAGGTAATTTATTTCGAAGATTTACTAAATTTATGCTTCTAATTATTTTACTAGAAGAGTAATTTTTTCATAGGTTATCTTACAGTAATAAAAGTTCAATTAAAATTTGACTGTGGCTCGATCAATTCTTCAGAAGAATAAAAAGCATGCAACTGTTTAGTTCTAATGGCTTGTCAACGTTTGGGATTGAAATTCAGCAGGAGTATTAATAAAAAAAAAGCATTTGAATCCTTATTATTGGTTGCTGATTCCAAAATTTGTTCATTCTTCCTTTGATTGTAACTGTTGGAGGGTAGGGTACACGTGATATAACATATTTTGCACTGTCATCGAATTCTGTGGCAAAAGGGATCTATTGAGACAGAGACACGGAGGATGTGATGATTGTAGACTAGGTAATTCAATGAACATATCTATTTGCTCCTCTTTTTGTTTTTCAGTTCACTGTGCTGCTGCAGAAATAAGAGATCATTTACCTGATGGTTGTCTATCTGTTTCTCAGGGCACCTGAACTTCTTCTTGGGGCAAGACAGTACTCAACAGCTATTGATATATGGCCTCTTTGTTTTATAATGGCTGAACTTTTGTCTAAGGAACTACTGTTCAATGCAAAAACAAAATTTGATCAACTTGACAAGTTATATAATGTCAATAGTTTAACAAAGCCTGGTAATAAGTTATTACTAAAAGCCATTTACATAATATACTTTTCCATTTTCCCTCTCCATCTTGTAAATAGTTTAACAAAGCCTGGTAATAAGTTATTCCACCATTTTGAGTATTTGAATTTAAATCTTTCACATGTTTTAACAATTTCAAAATGTATTCCTACAAATGTATCCTTTATTAGAGAGGATAAGTCCAAGAACTAGAAAGCTGGAGTTGTTCGACCGCATGCACAATACTCATGCAGGGTAAGTTTTAAGCTTTCATTTTGAGTTCCAGGGTATTCTTAAAATTATTTTATTGGGATTTTAAATGGGCCTAGATGTTATGTTAATCAAGCTCACTTGATAATGTTCTAGGGGATAAAACATCTGTAGAAATCTTGAGTTGTTTATGCTGTTCTTTATTAATTGACCAGAAAATTCCCTGCATTGAGTTAACTTTTTCCGCAATGACTATTCGCCGCACTAACTAGGTTAGTTCTTAATAATATTTTACTACTTAAACTGTAGGTAGCAGTTTATAAGACAAGGTCTGTATGTGTTGCCTTCCTCGCAAACGTAGACACGAAATCTGATAAAATTGTAAATTTTAGCGGCAATTCATATCACTTGCCTGCATGGTCTGTGAGCATCTTACCTGATTGCAAGAATGTAGTGCTTAACACTTCAAAGGTTTTTCCTCCCTTCATTTGTGTTAAGTTGCTTGCATAATGATGATATTCATAATAACAACATTTTTATGGCAGATTAATTCTGCATCTGCAATTTCAAGCTTCGTAACCAAATCTTCGAAAGAAGACATTGGATCTTTAGAAAATTCTAGTTCAAAATGGAGTTGGACAAGCGAACCTGTTGGTATTTTTAAGGATGATTCATTGTCAAAAACTGGATTACTCGAGCAAATAAATACCACGACTGATAGAAGTGACTACTTGTGGTACTCGTTAAGGTAGTTAAGCCTTTAAGTTTGAAAGATATTTTGTATGACCTATGACTCTATGCTTCTTAGTAACACTTTTCTTTTATACTTTTTTAAAGCATTGGTCTTGTTATAATATTTTCTCAATTCCATCAGGTGGATGTCTCTCGGTAATCAATTGAGTGGTGTGAGGTTAGTAGATGAAGGACTGCGGGCAAGGTTCAAGGAAGCTTATCCAGATGTGGAGGTGCAGCCAACATCGCCTCCCAGAGCTTCTGCTATAGTGGTAGACTCTAGTGCGGCTGCTCAAATAAGCACAGAATCAAAGTCCACTATAACACAGTTTACTGAGCCTGCAGCTCTAGCAACTATCTCTGCTTCAGTGGAGAATTATGCATTATGCATTATCTCTACTTCAGTGGAGAATTATGCATTATGCAGAATCAAATAAGCACATAATCAATTGAGTGTTATGAATTATGCATTGTTTCCGTTGTTGCTCGTATGTACGTGATTCAATTTCTTTCTGATCTTCCAATTTGTGTTACAATACAAGCATGATCTCTATAAGCAATTTTGACTTAGCTTTATGTTGTGAAATTGTGAATACTGATATTGTTTTCTTTGAACAGAAATTGAATGAGGAAGCAAGTCAAGTGGCGAACGATGCAGTAGGGAGTATAAGAACAGTTGCTTCTTTCTGTTTTAAAGAGAAGGTGATGGAATTGTATAAGAAAAAATGCGAAGGACCGATTAAGACAGGCATAAGGCGAGGGATAGTAAGCAGATTTGGTTTTGGAGTATCATTCCTCGTGTTGTATGCAGTTTATGCATGCAGTTTTTATGCTGGAGTGAGTCTCGTTGACGATGGAAAATCTTCATTCTCAGATGTTTTTCGTGTAAGTTACTCTCCTAAATCGGTATTATAAGAATTAATTTTTCTAGCATTGAATTATTTCCTACTTCATGATTTGCAGGTCTTTTTTTCTTTAAGCATGGTAGCTATAGGACTTTCTCAAACCGAATCGTTGGTACCTGATTTAACTAAGGCAAAAAGTGCAGCTGCTTCTATATTTATGTGATTGTATTTGGCTTTCGCTCACTATCTATTAGAATTGGTGTCTATACTTGTGTTAGGCTAATCTTTAGAATAAGTTGTAGGTTTCACAGTAGAAACAAGTTACATCTGTATTAATGGCTTTATATCTGCTTAATATTGAATTGTTATATGCTATCTGCCTTTGGATGTTAGTGCCATATTAATATGGTTCTACTTAATTTTGTAATAATGAAAAGAAGAGTTAGTTCTGCTGTTGTTTTCTGATAATTTTGTGATAATGAAAAGAAGTCAATTAACCCTAAATACCCGTCCGCATTAACCCGAACCCGTCTAAACCGACTCTTGATTCGGGCGAAAATGGGTCTGTTATTACTACCCGCGGTTTGGATTGGGTGGAGGTTTTGGTCCCGAACCCGCCCAACCCGGCCCGTTGTCCAGCCCTTGGTATAGATATATATGGTATCACATTTGTCATTATTATTTTATTTTCAAATATTTTAGCTGCTTAGTCATTATTATTTTATGAATTCTAATGTCGTAAAATGCAAATGCCATATATATATATATATATATATATATATATATATATATATATATATATATATATATATATATATATATATATATATATATATATATATATATATATATATATATATATATATATATATATATATATATATATATATATATATATATATATATATATATATATATATATATATATATATATATATATATATATATATATATATATATATATATATATATATATATATATATATATATATATATATATATATATATATATATATATATATATATATATATATACCAAAAGAATGATTTTGTGTAAAACAAAAGTGTACTACAATAGCGTTTTGAAGAGAGAGTGTTATTAATGATACGTACTATAATAGCACTTTTATGGAAAAGTGCTATCTAATATGTGTCTTATAATAGCGTTTTGTTTGAAAGTACTATCAAAATCAAAGCAAATTACCAGTACTATAATAGCGCTTTGTTTGAAAATGTTATCTAATATGTGTCTTATAATAGCGCTTTGTTTGAAAGTGCTATCAAAATCAAAGCAAATTACCGGTACTATAATAACGCTTTGTTTGAAAGTGCTATCAAAATCAAAGCTAATTACCGGTACTATAATAGCGCTTTGTTTGAAAGTGCTATCTAATATGTGTCTTATAATAGTGTTTTTGGAAAAATGCTATTAAATACCGGTACTATGATAGCGCTTTCGAAAAAACGCTATTAATTACCAGTATTATAATAACGCTTTTAAAGCGCTATCAAAAATTTTGTTTTACAATAGCAGCTTGGTTAATAGCGCTTTTAAGCGCTATCAAAAAGCAAAAAAAAAAACGCTATTAAATAGCTTTTTTGTAGTAGTGAAATGCGAATATGTTCAATAATAGTTTGGTCCTCTTCTTTGTGGAGGTATATGATTTGTTGACGGATTGTGAATTCACGTTCTTGTGAATCTTCTGCATATGCATCTTTGAGTGCGACCCAAACGGCGTGGGCAGTATCGATGCCGACGACCAATCCAAGTGCTTCCTCAGAGAGGGTTCTGATTATCCAGCCCTGAAGAAGACGATCGGACTTGCGCCAAGTGACGAATTCATCAGTTAATTTTGGAACAAATTGTTCTGAGTTTGTGGTATTGGTGGTGTATTGAGTGGGTGATGGGTCTTCATTTGTAAGATGACCGACCAAGTCTTGGCTCTCTGCAAGCGCTAAGGCTTGTTCACGCCACAGTGGATAATTTGTAGGGCTTAGTTTTAGGGTGATAAAGTTGCTGACATTGAGGGATAAAGAAGTCATAATTTTGTAGGTAGTGTTCACAAAGGTTCTAGATACCAAAAAGAAAATAAGGACAGGAATGAATTGATGCTATTTTATTTGAATTGTAAAACGTGAACACTGCTTAATACAATAGAGGTGGAGCAAATATATAGCAACAACCAGCAGTGTGTACAACAATTATACATAATTGCAGTTTGATGAATCCCTAAAACATAGCTAAATTTCCTATTATGTAGAGACCTAATCTGGTTATTTTGCTGCATTGATTTACAAGCATATAATTAATCCTCCAATGTCTCTCCATTTGATGTGTCATAATTATAGGGATTCTCTTTGATTATTGTTTATGTCCCATAATTAATGCAATTGCTGTCAAAGGACAGATGAGTACGTTTAATACATTTTTTCTGGTAGCTTTTTAAAATATCATAAGGTCGTTTGCAAAAAGAAGTTTGGTTAGGAATGATTGTCTTTCCAAATGATATTCATGTCAACTTACCTTAATCCACCAACATAAATAATTATCTACTAAGTGCATCTTCTTCAATGCAAAAGAGCAAGAGAGATAGAGGATTTCCATGCCCCACTCTTCTAGAGGAAGAAAAAAATCTTACAGCTTTTCTATTTATCATGATTCATAGTTTGGCTGAGTGTAGAAGGATAAGTTTTCAATTGAAAAACTTATTATCAAAATCAAATTGAACAAAAACTTTAATAAGATATGTCAATCTAAGTATCAAAAGCTTTTATGATGTCTATCTTCACAGTCATACTATCTTTATAGGATTTCTTGTTCAACATGTCAATGAGTTTTAAAATAATTCCAATACAATTATATATATGTATGTCACTAATGAAGCATATTTGGTACATTGAAACAATTTTAAAAGTTAAAATGGTAAACCTATCTACTATTATCTTTGATATGATTTTGAATTGAAAATTTGTAAGTACAAGAGTTCTATGATATTCTAAAAAAAATCCTCATATTATTTAAGATCTGCTCTATAATAATCTTAGTGATGATCTTAAAATTTTTACTTAACTTAATTTTAAATAAACTTAATAATTTTTGTAGTGGGGGAAAAATCTATAGAAAAATGATATTTTGAGATAAACATTAAATTTTGACAAAATTTAAAAACTTAACCTTATTTGAAAATATGATCATTTTTGTTTAGTATACTAATCATAAATATGAAAATAATTTATAATTCGCTAGCTATAATTTTTTTTTGTTATTATATATTAGAAAAATCCATTTTTTAAAAAGTTTGTCATTTTTTGGATAATTGACAACTAAATAGTAAGGAAGAAAACATGTTGAGCAAATATAAATGATACAAAACAAACTATCTTACAAATAAGAATAAAAAAGTTAAAAAATTACTCAAATCTACAATTTCAGTGCGAAGTAGATATCTCTCGACTTAGACCTTGTTTTGAAATTATGAATAGTAAAAACATAGATACAAGTGTTGCAAACCATCCCTCCAAATTTGAACTCGATCTGACGGTTAACGAATAGGAGATCATCGATTTAGTGAGACCGAATGCAAAAAAAATGGGAATGAGTTTCTCTCCTCGTTACTCCCTTTTGAATCCTTATTTTCTCTCTATAACCCTAAATTGATCCCCTCTACTTAAATAAATGAGATAAATGGGCTAATTATATTTGAGCTTTCCTCTACATATGATGGGATCCCAAACCCAATCAATTTCCCCCTCACAAGTATGTGGAGGAAATTGACAAACCGACAATATCACAACAAGCTTCAAATTTCCCTCTTGATAATGCTTTGGTCATCATATAAGAACCATTATCATTTGTATGAACTTTATCTAACTCAAAAAACTTATCATCTAAAACATCATGTGTCTAATGATATCTCACATCAATGTGTTTGGACCAATTATGAAATGTCTGATTCTTACCAAGATGAATAGCACTTTGAATATAAACAAATAACACATATTTGTCTTGAACAAAACCAAGCTCCTGCAATAATTTATGCATCCATAGTAACTATTTGCATGCTTTGCTAATTGCAATGTGAAGGTGAGAAAAATACACAAGAATGGGGAGGGGGGGTTGAATTGTGTCTTGCAAAAATTAGATTTCCTTCTGAATCACAGTTCAAATTTTAAAGACTGAGTTTAGAACCTGATAAGGTACAGTGGAAATAGAAACAAAAGTATAGTAAAAATAAAAAAGGACACACAGTAGTTATCCTGGTTCCTCTCCTAACTTAGAGTACTTCAGTCCCCTTGCCAAGCAAGATATTTTCCATTATAATCAACCAGATTACACTTGCTTATACATACTCATATAAGACTTTTCTTTTTGCTCATACCACTTGTCCAATACTTCCCTTGCTTAGAGCTCGTGCCTAAGACTTCCATCTGCTCAATCAGCTCCTGACTGAGACTTATCTTGCTTAGATAACCCGCCTAAGACTTTACCTTGCTTAGAGCTCGTGTCTAAGACTTTCCACTGCTTAGAGCTCGTGTCTAAGCCTTTTGTTTTCTTAGAGATCGTGTCTAAGACTTCACCTTACTTAAGCCTACAACAAAACACTTATATCTAAATAGATAATTTAGAGAAGGAATAACTTACAACAACACTTGATAAATATCAGAGGTGTTCAAAATATTACAACACATTTTTACAAAGATTCTTAATCAACACAAGAATAAGAACTCTTAACAGACTCAACTTTCTGATAGTAGTGCGTGTATTTCTCAGTTGTATTTACATCGTTATTTCTTAGTTGATTTTCAAATCTTCAACTACTTTTTATAGCTAAAGAAATAGAGACTTTTGAGCATCTTCAACGGCTACAAACAGACCAAATCTTCTAGTTTATCTTTTTTTCCCAATAAAGCAAGTGTTGGAACTTTCAGTCACAAGAAAATCCACAAAACAAGGTCTTTGTCCAGAGGGTACAACTATGATTCAAGTAAAACGCAACCTATAGAAGACAATGTCAACAAATCTTGAGTCCTGTTTTAGCAAAAATGACTTGACATTACTCAGCATCAGAGGCAGCATAGCACGCTTCTGAACTGTAGTGTACTAGCAGTAGCTTTTCTAATCAAGCTTCCTCAAGAGATCATGATCAGAACTGAACCAAAGTCATTTTAGTGTCGGAACCAGTTCCATCAAGTAAATATAATTTTGCACATATAAACTAGCTAGTTAGAGATCCTAGTTGATTTTCAAATACTTTGTTGTCATCAAAGCCTTGGAAGATGCATGGTATAAACCAAACTTGTTTCAATAATCTCCCCTTTTTTGATGATGACAACATTAAGTATTTAGAAAAGCAATCAGAAGTAAATTAATTTTTCAACAACTTTCAGGGTCTGAGGTTTGTAAGCTCCCCCTGAATCAAACAATCTAAGAGGTGATGTTTGTAAGCTCCCCCTGAGTCATGTTTGTAAAGTCTAAGAGTTGAGGTTTGTAAGCTCATATTCGTATTGAATAATAAATCTACTCCAAAGGTGATATTCGCAATCTCCCCCTAAATAGATTACTAACCATATTCAGAACCATTATTAATCTAAAATACTCAATCCATTCTCCCCCTTTGTCATCAATCAACAAAGAAGACAAGGAAAAAAAATTTAGCAATGAATAATGGTTTCAGAACTATTCATAGCTGAACACCAGTTAGGAACAAGTCTATCAATGTTGAACTAGAATTTGAGAAAGAATCCTACCAAAATGAATGAGAAAAGATAATTTCTCACGAGATGTAAGAATCTCTTCATTAAGATACTAAAACATAGTTAGAGGTAAATTAATCTTGATCCTGAAGACTAGTGCCAAAATGAAGAGTTTATCATCAGAAAAAGTAATCATATCACCTTTACTCTAGGCCTTAGAATGCTCCCCATAATTTGGTACCAGACTTTTGCAATAGGAGTAAGAATAGAAGGAATTTCAGAAGGGCCTTTGTTACCATAGATGATTTGTAAATCATTTTTTAAGTTGTTGTTATACCAGTAGCTTTCAACAGTGACTCCATCTACCTCACAAATAATTGCTTGATAGATGATTTTAAAGTTGATTACAACAGAAAAAAAACAACAAATAGAATCAGACAATTATTTTGCTCACTCTAATGAATATGGGAATTGGCCCAAAAGTCTTCACAAGATCTGGAAAGATGAGTCTAGAGAGTAGTTATCTCATTTCTGAAAATGAATATCTGAAACAATTTATGAAAGATTATTCGCTGTCAATTCGTTGAACTCAGCTGCATATTCCTTTAGAAAATCTAAATCAAAAATCTCTTCTTTAATGAATTACAAGGACATTTTTGTAAGAAGAAATACTAAGATGAAGAAAATTGATTTCACATAATTATCTTATGTAGAAGATAACCTATGATATCATAAAGAAAAAAAAACATCTTAGCAACTTATCACATATAATGCTAGAATATAAGCAAGTATGCATTAAAATGTTTGGACAATTATGAGTCTGAATAAAAATAAGTTAGAATCTTTGTCAGAACACCTTTTTAATGAACCAAACTTTTTATAGCAGATTCTAAAAATAGAAGTTATAGTCATGTATTTTTAAGTCTTTGTAAAACTTTCATAGACAGCTGACAATCAGATCAGAATTTCAAGAAATGTTTTTTAGGATCAAAGTGTTAAGACAAGGATTCTTATTTTATCAGAACTCAAGGAATTAACTTATTACTGTATGCTTTAAATAAAGCAGTCAAGGAAGAGAGAGATCATATAACCCCTATTCAGATTTAAAAACCATACATAAGGAACTATCAAAAATAATTCAACTGACTACTAAGAGATTCCAACGAATATTCCAATACACCATTCAAAGAACAAGCATTTATTCTGCTACATAAACCAAGTTAAATTTTTTCTTGATGAAATCAAAGTGGGCAATGGCCAGGGGCTATGTAAATATATCAGCCCATTGATGTTTAGAAAAAAAGGACTGAATATCTATTATACCCTTCTGAACATAATCCCTTATAAAG